CCACAATGAGATATCACCTCACACCAGTAAGGATCGCCATCATCGAAAAGACAAACAACAACAAATGTTGGCGAGGTTGTGGAGAAAGGGGAACCCTCCTATACTGCTGCTGGGAATGTAAACTAGTTCAACCATTGTGGAAAGCAGTATGGAAGTTCCTCAGAATGCTCAAAATAGAAATACCATTTGACCCAGGAATTCCACTTATAGGAATTTAACCTAAGAATGCAGCACTCCAGTTTGAAAAAGACAGATGCACCCCTATGTTTATCGCTGCACTGTTTACAATAGCCAAGATATGGAAGCAACCTAAATGTCCATCAGTAGATGAATAAAGAAGATGTGGTACATATACACAATGGAATATTACGCAGCCATAAGAAAAAAACAGATCCTACCATTCGCAACAACATGGATGGAGCTAGAGGGTATTATGCTCAGTGAAATAAGCCAAGCGGAGAAGGACAAATACCAAATGATTTCACTCATATGTGGAGTATAAGAACAAAGGAAAACTGAAGGAACAAAACAGCAGCAGAATCACAGAACCCAAGAATGGACTAATAGTTACCAAAGAGAAAGGGACTGGGGAGGATGGGTGGGAAGGGAGGGATAAGGGCGGGGAAAAAGAAAGAGGGTATTACGATTAGCATGTATAGTGCGTGGGGGGCATGGGGACGGCTGCGCAACACAGAGAAGACAAGTAGTGATTTTACAGCATCTTACTACGCAGATGGACAGTGACTGTAAAGGGGTATGTGGGGGGTACTTGGTGAAGGGGGGATCCTAGTAAACATAATGTTCTTTCTGTAATTGTAGATTAATGATACCAAAATTAAAAATCAAAAAAATTAAAAAAATAAGTCCTGGGATGTAATGTACAGCATGGTGACTATAATTAATATTATATTGCATATTTGAAAGTTGCTAGAAAATTCTTAAAAGTTTTCAATATAATAAAAATTTATAACTGTGCACCTATGAATGCTAACTAAACTTACTGAGGTGATCATTTCATGATATATACATATATCAAATAATTATATCATATACCTGAAATCAATGTTAAGTCAATTACATCTCAAAATATAATAAAAGCAACCTCTTTCAACAGAAAAAAAAGCTATCCAGAGTAAAAAGGTAACCTATAGAATGACAGGAATTTTATATTTTTTACAATAAATTTTACATTATATATTTTATATTTACATACATATTTAAAATCATGCATCTAAGGTATTCATATCCAAAATATATAGAGAACTCCTAAAACTCAAAAAAAAAACCAATCGTATTCAAAAATGGGCAATGAACTTGAACAGACATTTCTCCAAAGATTTACAAATCACCAATAAGCACTTGAAAAGATGCACAACATCACTAATCATTAGGGAAATGCAAGTCAAAACTACAAGATACCACCTCACACTCATTAGGATGGCTGCTATTAAAAAAAAAACAGAAAAGTACTGGTGAGGATGTGCAGAATTGGAACCTTTGTACATTGTTGGTGGAAATATAAAAGGGTACAGACACTATAGAAAACAGTACGGAGTTTATTTAAAAAATGAAAAATAGAATTAATATATAACCCAGCAATTCTTCTGGGTATACACTCAAAAAAATCAAAAGCAGGGTCTTGACGAGATATTTGTACACCCATGCAGCAGCATTATTTATAATAACTAAAATGTAGAAGCAACCCGATTGTTCACTGACCAATGAACAGATTACCAAAATGTGATTTATATATATACAATGGAATATTCAGCATCACAGAGGAAATTCTGCAATTTGCTGCATGAATGAACTGTGGGGGCATCTGCTAAGTGAAATTAGCCAAACACATATATATATGATTCCACTTACATGAGTTTTGTGATTACAAAATCATAGAGACAGAGGTATAATGCGGTTGCCAGAAGCTACGGGGAGAGAATAGGAACATGGGAAGTTGTTTCCTAAGTACAGAGTTTCAGATTCACAAGACAAAGAGTTATAGACATGGATGTGGTAATGTTTACACAACGTCAATGTTTTTAACACCACTGAACTGTACACTTAAAAATGGTTAATATGGTAAGTTTTATGTTATATGCATTTTAAAACACACAGACAAAAAGAAAATTGGGGAAAAAAATACCTACTTCTATGGCTAAAACCATGAGTGATTTTTTAAGCAAGCTGGACGTGAATAGACAGCCACCGACAATAAAGATTTTGTTTGTTTTAGTGAAAGTGGAGGGGTGTTGATACCAGAGTAAGTGGGAATTCTATTCTGGAAGACACAATCCACTCCCATGAACTCTAGGGGAAAAATCTGTTATGTCAACCAACCCAGTGCAGGCCTTCCCAGTGCAGCCCAGCTCCTAACACCCCAATCTTAAGTTCCCATCTGGTCTGGAGCCCTCTGGGACCTCTCACCCATCCTTCCTGTACCCAGACACCTCAAGGAATTATGCTGGCAATGCAAACCAGGATCACCCTCTCCAACCCCCATCTCCACCCCCATACACACCAGAGCTCAAAGGAGAGAAGCAGTAGCAAACAGGGAATTCCAAAGCTGCACCTACTCGGAAGCCATGAACAAGGCCTGAAGAATGCTGTTCACATAGCATGTGTTGCCCAGATTGATTAAACCAATCTTGCCGGTGTCTGACTTGGCCATGAGCCGGGGGTAGAAGCCAGCCAGCTCACTCTTCTGTGAGGTCCAGGCATCCTGCCCCAGCAGCTGCTTGATGCGGTCCTCATTGGGAACATGGAGATCCTACGGAGGAAACAAGCCAGCAGGACAGTGGAGACCAGGGTCAGCTCTAAAAATATCACCTCCTTTGGGAAGCCTTCTTCAACCACAGCCTACCCCACACTCACCCAAACACACCAATGCTCAAATGTTCTAGAGAGATGTGTGAACAGCCCCTGCTTCCAAACTCATTCTAGGTTCTCACTGTGACATGTGGGCCTTTTATATGATCTTTCGTGTCACCACTGCCTTAAGAAGGTGGTAAGATCCCCATTTTATAGTAGAAAAAATATAAGACTCAGATAGAGAAAAGAATTTTCCAGAGACACACACACACACACAGTAAGCAAAGAATCTGTGTGTTCTTAGAAGAGCCCAGGGTATGACAGACTCCAAGCAGTGAGAACACCAGCCCACCAGCCAGATCCAGCAGGGTCAAGATCTCAGTCCTGCTCCTGACTCTTGTCCTCCCTGGTTGTCTGGTTGTGGTCGAGTGGAGCCTCTCCGACTCTGTCAGCTAACCTCCCTGGGCCTCAGTTTCTTCACTAAACTCTTATCATCTATCACTTTGGCACTCTGCTTCCATGGTGCTTACACACAAACATGCTACCATTTCACCTTCAACTGCTCCCATTTCACCTTCAACTTTTAGGTTTGCAGAGTCAGCTTTTTTAATTAGTCACCCCCCCAGAACTTGATCCTACAGACAGGATGGTGGGACGACCGGGGGTCTGAGGTAAGGGTCCTTGGTCAAAGACTTGAGGATTAGCATGCTTTCCCACTCACTATCCTTTTACATTAAAGGTGTACCTGAAGGAATATTACCAAGTACTAGTTCTAATAATGATATATTTTAAGGAAAAACACCTAAGCATAATACAGAGTTCCTTAGTAGATTTAAGCAACATTGTAACAGTTCCTCTAGCCCTGTTCTTATTTCCAGATCATGAGTACAATCCCTGGATTCCTACAAGGCTCCAGAGCCTCACACCAGGTTAGCCCTGATACCCTAGTCCCCCAACACACCCCCCATGGCAAAGTAGCTCATTCATTTCCCGTGATCGTCAATCAGATAATGTATCTGATTAGTCAGTCACCTCTCACAGATAAAAAATACAGGAGCTACTAGAAGCAAGTATCTTCTTGCTATCTTCTTAGTCCCTTCTTTTACCCCCTATCAGCCCCTATCCAGTCCCCACGCCACACAGTAAGGACTAGAAGGCAGACAGACGGAACTGCACACACGTGCATGTGTGTACACACAAAAGATACAAAAATACCCACAGTGGAAAACACCAAATGTCATTTTTCCCAAAGAAAGAAACTTTATCCTCTCAGGAAAATAAAGCTGCCAAGTAACTCTCAAACTCCTGACATTACTGGAAATATGATTACAATGGCTCCCTTGGCAAGGACCACAGCTCCCAGGGAAACTGGGGAGTATGTCAACCAGAAGGATGTGAGAGGACTGACACATGTGAAAGGATCTTATAAACAATAAAATCCTATGAATACTTTGTGGCCTTGCCTCTCCAACTGGCTTGCACCAAGAGGTATTCAAAGCCACCAGACAAACGTAGCTCATCTTTGTGGGGCTGTATTCTCTAACATTCAAGGGAAAAAATATCTATGTTAAAACAAATGTTTTTAAATATGAAGTATATAGTGGAATCTTTGAGGTAAAGTGAGATTCTAGAGCAACTCTGAGATTGTGCCAGGCTGCTTGGGGTAAATCCCTTCCTCTGTGGTCAAGTACTTCAGATGAAATGTTTGCAAAGCCCAGATCTGCTGGATTAAGCAGGGTCACTTGGCATCACTCAGCCTGGTTTCCAAGGCCCTCCACTCTGCTGACCTTTCTGATCTCCCTTCCACTCCACTGGCACACTACCGCCAAACTGGACCGGCACGTTCCCACTCACATCCTTTCCCTCCATTGGTCGGGAGTGGTCTCCTCCTGCCAGTCCCCGTCCCTCAAGGTCTAACTCCTACACCCCCTTCTCCAGAAGACTTCCCAGGATCTTCTCATCTAGCATCCTAACACTGTCTCCGTGTGGCTTATAAAGCTTAACTCCCTACACCTAGTGGCCCGGGTATTTGCAGACTCACCTTGTCCCTTGGACTAAGCCATAGTCCCTGGTGTGCAAAGCCTGGGTCTCACTCAGTGTTCACTGGGCCCAGAGATCCAAATGACATGGTCTCTTCCCACCAGAAACCCTCAAGCTGGCAGGAAACAGTCACTTCCAAAAAGTGGAAGTCCTGTCTCCTCTGCTCATCCACCTCCAGGGACAGGGAGCTCATGATTGAACAAGGCAGCTACTTCTATTATAGGTCAGCTCTGACTAGTAAAAAACTTTCTCATGGTAAGCTTGGAAAACTAAGAGACCCAAGTAAATGCCAGACATTTTACTTGTTGTATCTATAAATTCTCACCATGGTGGATTGTTCCTTTGTGTTTTATAATTTTTTAATTATACACTCATCCTCAGTAGATCTTTACCTTTGTAGCTTGAAAGCAGTTTCATTTCAGTTTCCCATGGTATTTCAAGTTTATGAGTACTTTTAACATCAGTTTCACAGCTTAACCCCAAAGATGATAAAAGTTTGAAAACCTAACCTCACAAGAGCAGGCCAGTGATTACAAATGTCTTTTTTCCCAATCCAAAGCCCAGACCAAGCCAGGAAAGTTTCCTTGATGTCTATTTGGGACAGTGTGTATATTTTTCTAAAACACTCTTTGCCAGTGATAAAGGCTTTTTTTGAGAGCTGGCTTCCATGGGCTTCTTGGTGCTAACTCCCTGCTGGGGGCAGGCCTAACGCCTCACCTCCTGTCCCCACCAGCTCAAGCCCCTTAGTGACTGAGGTAGGCCATTTCGCCCACCTTCTCTGCCCACCCCAGGGCAAAAAATGCATCATCTCTCACTCACCATTCTGGAGTTCAATTTTCTCTTCCTTTTGGGCCCCTGAGGATTCCCCATTACATTCTTGCAAGCTCAGCTATGTACTTAGAAAGATGTCTGTTATGTTTTAACAAGCATTTCTAGGTATTCTGTAGTAGAACACTCTTCAGATTATCTATCTGCTATGCCACAGAAACGGAAGTCAGATCAGAGGTTCTGAATGGGCCGCCACCTGCCTGGACATGGTTCACCCTCTCCAGCAGCCACTGGGAAAGGGCTCAGCAACCTGGGGCCCTGGCTGTGTCTCTCACTACCTCTGTGACTTGGCACAAGTCACCAAACTTCTCCAAGTCTCATTTTCCTCATCTGTGAAACTGAAGTAACAGTACCCACTTCACAAGTTTTCTGTAAGCATTGGAAGACAAAATACAAGGAAAAACACTGTCAAATGTGGCACTCTACAAATGTTAGCTATTGTCCCAGCAACCTAACAAGCCCCATTTAGAAGCCCTATCCTCCTTGCAACCTCCTCTCTAACTGGAGAAGCTCTCTCCCTCCTCCGGTTCCTCAGTACTCTTGGGCCAACCCTCAAAGGCATTGCCTAAGCTGCTTATGTCAATTACTTCTAAGTCTGTCCCGCCACTGGGCTGCAAGTTCCTCAGTGGAGGAGACTTGGTCTGCCTCGTCTTGTGCCACCAGTTGCCAGTCGGTCTGACACAGAGCAGGGTGTCAGTAAAATCACGTGAACAGTTGTAAACACTCCCTGCTCTGGAGTGCTCAGTCTTCGGGGGGACAGACACACAGAGAGTAGCAACATGTGCCAGAGGCCTGCACTGGGGCCCAGAAAGGCCCTGACCCAGCCTGGGGGAAGAGGAGGTACCCAGAGTTGTCAGGGAAGGCTTCCTGAGGCAGGTAACACTTGAGCAGAGCCATAAAGGGCAGGGCTTAGTAGGAGGATATGTGGCCTGCACTGGGGCCCAGAAAGGCCCTGACCCAGCCTGGGGGAAGAGGAGGTACCCAGAGTTGTCAGGGAAGGCTTCCTGAGGCAGGTAACACTTGAGCAGAGCCATAAAGGGCAGGGCTTAGTAGGAGGATATGCTATATAGGCAGAACAAGAGGAGGGTTTAGTGACAGAAAATGGCATATTTGAAGGCTCAGGTCAATCATAGGAAAGGATCTGTGGGAACGGCAGGTGGCTCTGCATGCCTGAAGCACAGGGTGGGCTGGGGAGGCAATAGGAGACAGCCAGGGGCCATATGATAGGGGCTGCCACTACAAGGTGAGGGAGCAGTGGGGGAATGTCTCTCACCTTGATGGCCTCCATGACAGGCTCATACAGATCCGGGAAGCCAGGGAACCGGAACACCATGCAGTGGACCAGCTCTGCCAGCTGCTCCAGGCAGCTGGTCCCCGAGTTGGAGTCCTCCTTGACCAGAGAGGCCACCATCCGGGGGATGTGGGGGAGCAGCTGTGAGGGCAGAGCAGGGTTAGGCTCAGCACCTGTTTCCCCGCCCAAGACATGGGATTTGGGTCAGTGCTGAAAACACCACAGCTACAGGAGGCAGGGAGGTCTGCCCACATGGGACTCTGAGCTCTGCAGACAGGTGACTTCTTCTACAAGATTGGTGACCTTGGATCCCCCACCTCAGTCTCATCATCTGTTAAAAGGGTTAATTCCCACCTCACAGTTGAGCAAAGACTGGAGTCCAAGCGCCGCTGTTAAGCCTCAACCAATGGACCTGCCCAAAGAGCCTGAGGGTATGCGACAGCAGAGCTCCGCTGCCCACCCAGGAGAGAGGCCAGGGCTGCACTGGAGCCAGTGGGTGGGCAGCCCTGGCAGAGCATGGGTGGCAGCCTCCAGGAGCAAACGCCACCATTCTTTCACCAAACACATGTCAAGGCTTCATCCTCACAATGAATTCATACAACGATTATTATCCCCATTTCATACATGAAAAACTAAAGTTGGAGTGGTTCTGTAACTTGCCAAGGACTTCGCCATGGGTTGCTGCAGAAGCTGGTATCTGAACCAGGTCTGTGAATCCAAAGCCCATTTCTTTCCTCTGTGCTACAGAGTGTTAACTTTCAAGCCCTGGGGGTCCCAGAGTCAGACTACAGAGACTGGGAGCAGGGGAGCCCAGGAGAAGGGTAGAAAGAAAGAAATATCTATTGAATCCCTAGTATGTTGCAGGCTCTTGACAGTCATCATGTCCTGGAATCCTGTCCTACCACCCCTAGGGCTTACTGCTGTTTCAGGTTCTGGGACATAAGTGCCTGGCCCAAAGTCACCACATCTGGCAAATGGCAGAGCTGGAACTCATAACCAAGCACCTCAATCCCTGATTCTGTAATTTTCCCCACTGTAGCAAATCGGGAAGCAGGGAGGTTCTGCCCCAACCAGGAGCTATTAGAACCTAGGGCTCCATCTGCAGGTCTGGGCAAGGCAGGCAGGAGGAGGGCAGCCCTCCAGGGCTGCAGGCCATCCTTCCCAGAGGAGGACCCCAAAGATAGCAGAAAGGGCCCTGGGCTGGAGGCCAGGCCACCGGGTGCTGGGTGCAGCAGGGTATGGGAAGAATGCTGTGTCAGGAGTTAGATCAACCCGGCCAGAATTTGCCCGATACCACTCAGCATCTGTGCATCTGGGACAAGTGACTAACCTCCTTCAACTGCAGCTTCCTCAACTGAAAAATGGTGAAACTGATAGACCTTCCCCCCTCTTGGGTCTGTTCTGGGAGTTAAATGAATGAGCACTGTTTTTAACACTGGGTAGCACTGTGCCTGGCACATAGCTGGCACCTGAGGAATATTAGTTGTCACTATCACAGGCCTGCCAGTCTAATGTGGGCCCAGAGGAAGGCCATACAAATTCTCTGGCCTTTTTCCTATCTGTAAAATGGGGCCTCAAGTCTCCTCCAGCCCTAAATCAAGGACTTTGAGGTCTTGGGCTTCAAGCCTCAACCACCAACATTGACAGCATGCCTGGCCTCCAGCCAGACCAGTGGGGGAAGCAGGGCTGCACATCCTCGGAACAGCAAGCAGGAGCCCTTACCAGGTGGAAGGCCTCATGGGAGTGCTGGAAAGTCAGGAGCATGTACTTGAGGACAGACAAAGCGGCTCCCCGGACAATGGGGTACAGAAGCTTGGAGAAAACCTGAAAGAGAGTCACTGGTCAGGAGACCCCCAGACTTGGGCTGCCCAAGGCCAAGTACAGCCACAGGCCTAAGAGGAGGTCAGAGACACAGGAGTTGAAGTAGCAGACCCATGCGGGAGCAAGAACATGGAGCTGCTCACAGAACTGGGTAGTGAACAGATGGCCAAATGGACATTAGACAGATATCTAATGTATGAATGGATGCACAGACCAAAGTGACAGACATACATTCTTAAATGTGCAAAGGAAGGAATGGGTGAGAACCTGAAGCCCAGAGAGGGGCAGTTAACCATCCCAGGTCACAGCGAGCTGGGTGGGAGACCAGATACTTTACCTCCCAGACCTGCACTGCCCCTGGTGCTAGTCTAGTGGGCAAGGCCAAAAGCTGGGGCTAGGACAGGGGCCTACCAACCTTCTCAATTTTGGCGAGTGAAACCTCAATCAAGATGCTGAACTTCTTAACGGCAGCCAGGCCCTTCAGCAGTGCAATGATCCACTTGTCAATGTTCTTCCCCAGGGGCCATGACACCCAGTCGATCATCCTGGTGAGGGGAGTGACAATGACACAAGGACCAGGGAAGCCCAAATGCCTGGGTGGGGGCAGCCTGGGGACTAACCATAATGTCCTGAGACCCCACACTCACTCCCACCTGCACAGGGCAGGCCTGGGGTCTGTGGAATGAACAAGACACCTCTGAGACCTGCAGACAAGCCCAGCACAGACATCTCACAGGGACAGGGGCTCCCAGCCCAGCAGGCAGGGAGTTAGGCCCTCTCAGTACCCAAAACCTCACCCCCACATGATGGGCTGCAGTGGTGGAATGGGGCTTTCACTGCTTCTGCCTGGACCATAAAGCCCAATCGCAGGAGGAGCCCTGCCCAGAGGCCATAAGCTCTGGCTCCAGCAAACCCTTGCTTGTGACCTGGAGCAAGTCACTTAATTCTCTCTAGCCTCAGTTTCTTCCTCTGTTAAATGGAGATAATATCTACCTCACAGGATTGTGGTATGGATTAAAACAGATAACAACAGCTAACAAATAGTATTCACTCAGCACCAGGCACTGCTCTATCTGCCTTGCACATATTAATCACCCAGAGCCCCACAGCACAATGCCTGGGCACACTGAGCATCAAGCTGCCACACAGTAGGTGCTCCAGAAAACATCACTTTTATCATTATTTTTATGCCCAGTAGGCTGTGCTATAAAGAGGCAGAATAAGGAGAGAATGAAGAATACTAATTATGGTAACTATAGCTATCACAGCACTGTTCTAGGCACTTTACACATATTACCTCATCTTATCTAATTGAATCCTCACAATAATCCTGTAAAGTGGATTTAATTATAAAACATTTTATAGTTGAGGAAGCCAAGGCAAAGAGAGTCTGAGTAACCTTCCCAAAGCTACACAGGCAAGAAGAGGTAGAGCCAACACTTGAACACAGGCAACTGACCTCTAGAGCCCACGCTCTTACCAACTAAAGATAAGGAATCCAGGAAGGCCCAATGGAGACGGTGGATCTGCACACGGGTATGGAAAGAATGGCAGGGGGAGGCATGCCAGATGGACGGGGTCTGCAGAGCCAAAGGCCTGCAGGTAGGAGGGTAGAAGGCATATTCTGGGATCACTAGAGGGCAGGTGTGGCTAGATCACAGGTGCGATGACATTCAAGTGAGGTGGGGGATGTGCAAGAGCTCTGTGAGCTGAAAAGCTCCCAAACTCCATTATCATACTTGCCAAACTCAGAAAGCACTTTGTAAAGTACTCTCGCTTTCTATTATGACCCCATGGAAGCCCAACAACTTCTTATGCCACCTCTGCTATTACAGAGCAGGCAACTGAGGCTCAGAGAGTTCACTGACTTATCCAGGGTCACACAATTGGTACTCAGCCTGAGAATATCACTAGGGCAAAGCTCTCTGTGTCTCCCACACCCAGCCCTGGACAAGGCTCAAAAAGGATGGATGAATGAACAAGCATGAGGCCCTAGGTCCTCTGACACTAAATGTAGTCCAGCAACCCCACCCAGTAGAAGGGACTTCTAGAAGGGAGAGAGACCTGACCATCCCCCGGGCCCCCAGCCCACCTGCTAATGGCGGTCAGCATCTGGGAGTCCGTCACGCTGTCATCATTGCTGAGGTTCCGGACAACGCCATCCATGAGCTCCAATGGGAGGTGCTGGACCACACTGGCCAGGGCACTAGATGGCGGTTCCTCCTCTGGAACAGGAGGCTAGGCTGAGCTTATTTATCAGGGCAGGTAGGCCCCTGCCTCCCCATCACCCATGCCCTCATGCTGCCAAGGAACTACGTTAGGCCTCTGCAAAAAGCTTATCACAGCTACCTGTTAGCATCCTTAGAGCATCCCAACCTCTGATCCCATCTTAGCTCATTCACTCAATAAACCTTCACTGGCACTGCTTTGAGCCCAACCCTGTGCTGGGAACAGAGAAAAGCACTGACCCCCCAACTGCATACATATGGGCAAGGTAACTGGAGCTGGCAAGAACAGGTAAGAGGGCTATGTGACATGGGGGGAAGTGGGCCAATCTAGGCAGAACCACATAAAGAACACTCCAGAGGTGAGAAAGAACATTTAGTTCCCAACTGGTTGTCCAATTATATAGACCCAGGTCCTTATACACCTGGCCTTGGCTCTTTCTCCTGCCTTTCCTTTCCCTGGAACAGCCCTATAATCACGGACAGCACAGATCTTATTTCAGACATTTTTATTCTAGGCCAAGTTGCACAGCTGTCAATGGAGTGAATATTTTAAGTTTCAGAGTTGACATGTACAGGCTCCATCACATCCCTGGAACTTCACGTCTGCCTGCCCAGCTCTCAAGACCTGGCTCAGAAGTCAACACTTCTATGAAACCCACCTGACCCAAAGGGCATGATGACCCCCTTCCTGTTGCCTCGCTCAGCCCCCTGGTCCTCCTTCTGGACAGACTGATCCAGGTGCATCCTTCTCCCACACCAGGCAGTCTGCGTGCCCAGCACCCACCACAGGATAGGACCCATCGAAGGCGCTCAGCACAGGCCTGCTAACTAAGGAAGAATATCACATTCCCGCACTCATGTTAGCCTTTAGCACACTCACACCACACCTCTACGCAGGCACGTCAAGCAGAAGTCTGTACCCACGGCGCACACGCACCTGTGCAGGAAATGACGTTGAAGAGCTCCTTGAGGCAGGGCAAGATGGCAGCAGGCTGAGCGCGCCACAGCTGTGCCAGGAGCCCGCTCACCTGCTGCGCCTGCTCCAGGAACTCCACAGCGCCCTCCTCGCCCTCGGCCGGGCAGCGGAAGCGGCCAAGGCAGCGCACCAGCTGCTGGCAGAAGAGCAGGCGGTGCGGGCCGTCGGGCACGCAGCGCGGATGCCGCGCCAGCAGCCGCGCCACCTGCGCGCAGACTGCGGGCCCCGGCCGCTCGCACACGGTGCGCAGCACCTCGCGCCGCAGCAGCGCGTACACCTCATCCGCCGCGGGCCCCTCGGGCAACAGCTGCAGGCCCAGTTGCACGCAAGCGAGCGCTCGGGCGCCCGGCGGGCCGGCACCGCCCTGCAGCAGGCGCAGCACCCGGCGCGCGCTGAAGAACTCGGTGAAGACGTCTGGGTGGTGACGGCCGGCCACGTGCAGCAGCTGGCAGCCCACGCGGCGCGGCAGCTCGTCCGCACCGCCCACGTAGAGGCGCGCGCCCAGTGCCAACAGCGCCAGGCACTGCTCCCGCTCCAGTGGCTGCCGCGCCGCCTCCAGCACACGCCGCACCAGCCCTTGCTTCACGCTTGCCGGGTATGACGACGTCATCACCGCTTCCAGGATCTTGTCCATGGCGGCTGCGCTGCGGGGGACAAGGTGCAGAGTCACACTCTACCCGACAGAATGCATTTCCCCCTGTGGTCCCTGTGTACTGAGGCTTGGGCCGAGCAACTCTGCCTCTCTGGACCTCAGTTTACTCATTTGTGAAATGAGGAGAGGATACCTACTTCATTGGGAGACGCAATGCCCGTAAATCAAAGCACATGCCTGCCACATAATAAGCCCCAGTGAGTTGTAGTTACTCCTGATGAGCACCTTTAATCTCATACAGGTAACATATGAGCCTTCCCCGCTCCTCCCACCTCTTTGCTCTCTGATCCCCAGGCCTCCCTGGTGACTTAATTCACTCCTGGAACAGGTAGGAGCTGGATTTAGAAGCTGTTATCCAGAGTCTTAGCCAAGTCATGTCCTGTAGGGGAAATGAGCCTGGACGGACACACACACACACACACACCTCCAAGGAAGAGGGGCCTAGATCCCCCTTTACATGAAAAACTAAAGTTGGAGTGGTTCTGTAACTTGCCAAGGACTTCGCCATGGGTTGCTGCAGAAGCTGGTATCTGAACCAGGTCTGTGAATCCAAAGCCCATTTCTTTCCTCTGTGCTACAGAGTGTTAACTTTCAAGCCCTGGGGGTCCCAGAGTCAGACTACAGAGACTGGGAGCAGGGGAGCCCAGGAGAAGGGTGGAAAGAAAGAAATATCTATTGAATCCCTAGTATGTTGCAGGCTCTTGACAGTCATCATGTCCTGGAATCCTGTCCTACCACCCCTAGGGCTTACTGCTGTTTCAGGTTCTGGGACATAAGTGCCTGGCCCAAAGTCACCACATCTGGCAAATGGCAGAGCTGGAACTCATAACCAAGCACCTCAATCCCTGATTCTGTAATTTTCCCCACTGTAGCAAATCGGGAAGCAGGGAGGTTCTGCCCCAACCAGGAGCTATTAGAACCTAGGGCTCCATCTGCAGGTCTGGGCAAGGCAGGCAGGAGGAGGGCAGCCCTCCAGGGCTGCAGGCCATCCTTCCCAGAGGAGGACCCCAAAGATAGCAGAAAGGGCCCTGGGCTGGAGGCCAGGCCACCGGGTGCTGGGTGCAGCAGGGTATGGGAAGAATGCTGTGTCAGGAGTTAGATCAACCCGGCCAGAATTTGCCCGATACCACTCAGCATCTGTGCATCTGGGACAAGTGACTAACCTCCTTCAACTGCAGCTTCCTCAACTGAAAAATGGTGAAACTGATAGACCTTCCCCCCTCTTGGGTCTGTTCTGGGAGTTAAATGAATGAGCACTGTTTTTAACACTGGGTAGCACTGTGCCTGGCACATAGCTGGCACCTGAGGAATATTAGTTGTCACTATCACAGGCCTGCCAGTCTAATGTGGGCCCAGAGGAAGGCCATACAAATTCTCTGGCCTTTTTCCTATCTGTAAAATGGGGCCTCAAGTCTCCTCCAGCCCTAAATCCAGGACTTTGAGGTCTTGGGCTTCAAGCCTCAACCACCAACATTGACAGCATGCCTGGCCTCCAGCCAGACCAGTGGGGGAAGCAGGGCTGCACATCCTCGGAACAGCAAGCAGGAGCCCTTACCAGGTGGAAGGCCTCATGGGAGTGCTGGAAAGTCAGGAGCATGTACTTGAGGACAGACAAAGCGGCTCCCCGGACAATGGGGTACAGAAGCTTGGAGAAAACCTGAAAGAGAGTCACTGGTCAGGAGACCCCCAGACTTGGGCTGCCCAAGGCCAAGTACAGCCACAGGCCTAAGAGGAGGTCAGAGACACAGGAGTTGAAGTAGCAGACCCATGCGGGAGCAAGAACATGGAGCTGCTCACAGAACTGGGTAGTGAACAGATGGCCAAATGGACATTAGACAGATATCTAATGTATGAATGGATGCACAGACCAAAGTGACAGACATACATTCTTAAATGTGCAAAGGAAGGAATGGGTGAGAACCTGAAGCCCAGAGAGGGGCAGTTAACCATCCCAGGTCACAGCGAGCTGGGTGGGAGACCAGATACTTTACCTCCCAGACCTGCACTGCCCCTGGTGCTAGTCTAGTGGGCAAGGCCAAAAGCTGGGGCTAGGACAGGGGCCTACCAACCTTCTCAATTTTGGCGAGTGAAACCTCAATCAAGATGCTGAACTTCTTAACGGCAGCCAGGCCCTTCAGCAGTGCAATGATCCACTTGTCAATGTTCTTCCCCAGGGGCCATGACACCCAGTCGATCATCCTGGTGAGGGGAGTGACAATGACACAAGGACCAGGGAAGCCCAAATGCCTGGGTGGGGGCAGCCTGGGGACTAACCATAATGTCCTGAGACCCCACACTCACTCCCACCTGCACAGGGCAGGCCTGGGGTCTGTGGAATGAACAAGACACCTCTGAGACCTGCAGACAAGCCCAGCACAGACATCTCACAGGGACAGGGGCTCCCAGCCCAGCAGGCAGGGAGTTAGGCCCTCTCAGTACCCAAAACCTCACCCCCACATGATGGGCTGCAGTGGTGGAATGGGGCTTTCACTGCTTCTGCCTGGACCATAAAGCCCAATCGCAGGAGGAGCCCTGCCCAGAGGCCATAAGCTCTGGCTCCAGCAAACCCTTGCTTGTGACCTGGAGCAAGTCACTTAATTCTCTCTAGCCTCAGTTTCTTCCTCTGTTAAATGGAGATAATATCTACCTCACAGGATTGTGGTATGGATTAAAACAGATAACAACAGCTAACACATAGTATTCACTCAGCACCAGGCACTGCTCTATCTGCCTTGCACATATTAATCACCCAGAGCCCCACAGCACAATGCCTGGGCACACTGAGCATCAAGCTGCCACACAGTAGGTGCTCCAGAAAACATCACTTTTATCATTATTTTTATGCCCAGTAGGCTGTGCTATAAAGAGGCAGAATAAGGAGAGAATGAAGAATACTAATTATGGTAACTATAGCTATCACAGCACTGTTCTAGGCACTTTACACATATTACCTCATCTTATCTAATTGAATCCTCACAATAATCCTGTAAAGTGGATTTAATTATAAAACATTTTATAGTTGAGGAAGCCAAGGCAAAGAGAGTCTGAGTAACCTTCCCAAAGCTACACAGGCAAGAAGAGGTAGAGCCAACACTTGAACACAGGCAACTGACCTCTAGAGCCCACGCTCTTACCAACTAAAGACAAGGAATCCAGGAAGGCCCAATGGAGACGGTGGATCTGCACACGGGTATGGAAAGAATGGCAGGGGGAGGCATGCCAGATGGACGGGGTCTGCAGAGCCAAAGGCCTGCAGGTAGGAGGGTAGAAGGCATATTCTGGGATCACTAGAGGGCAGGTGTGGCTAGATCACAGGTGCGATGACATTCAAGTGAGGTGGGGGATGTGCAAGAGCTCTGTGAGCTGAAAAGCTCCCAAACTCCATTATCATACTTGCCAAACTCAGAAAGCACTTTGTAAAGTACTCTCGCTTTCTATTATGACCCCATGGAAGCCCAACAACTTCTTATGCCACCTCTGCTATTACAGAGCAGGCAACTGAGGCTCAGAGAGTTCACTGACTTATCCAGGGTCACACAATTGGTACTCAGCCTGAGAATATCACTAGGGCAAAGCTCTCTGTGTCTTCCACACCCAGCCCTGGACAAGGCTCAAAAAGGATGGATGAATGAACAAGCATGAGGCCCTAGGTCCTCTGACACTAAATGTAGTCCAGCAACCCCACCCAGTAGAAGGGACTTCTAGAAGGGAGAGAGACCTGACCATCCCCCGGGCCCCCAGCCCACCTGCTAATGGCGGTCAGCATCTGGGAGTCCGTCACGCTGTCATCATTGCTGAGGTTCCGGACAACGCCATCCATGAGCTCCAATGGGAGGTGCTGGACCACACTGGCCAGGGCACTAGATGGCGGTTCCTCCTCTGGAACAGGAGGCTAGGCTGAGCTTATTTATCAGGGCAGGTAGGCCCCTGCCTCCCCATCACCCATGCCCTCATGCTGCCAAGGAACTACGTTAGGCCTCTGCAAAAAGCTTATCACAGCTACCTGTTAGCATCCTTAGAGCATCCCAACCTCTGATCCCATCTTAGCTCATTCACTCAATAAACCTTCACTGGCACTGCTTTGAGCCCAACCCTGTGCTGGGAACAGAGAAAAGCACTGACCCCCCCAACTGCATACATATGGGCAAGGTAACTGGAGCTGGCAAGAACAGGTAAGAGGGCTATGTGACATGGGGGGAAGTGGGCCAATCTAGGCAGAACCACATAAAGAACACTCCAGAGGTGAGAAAGAACATTTAGTTCCCAACTGGTTGTCCAATTATATAGACCCAGGTCCTTATACACCTGGCCTTGGCTCTTTCTCCTGCCTTTCCTTTCCCTGGAACAGCCCTATAATCACGGACAGCACAGATCTTATTTCAGACATTTTTATTCTAGGCCAAGTTGCACAGCTGTCAATGGAGTGAATATTTTAAGTTTCAGAGTTGACATGTACAGGCTCCATCACATCCCTGGAACTTCACGTCTGCCTGCCCAGCTCTCAAGACCTGGCTCAGAAGTCAACACTTCTATGAAACCCACCTGACCCAAAGGGCATGATGACCCCCTTCCTGTTGCCTCGCTCAGCCCCCTGGTCCTCCTTCTGGACAGACTGATCCAGGTGCATCCTTCTCCCACACCAGGCAGTCTGCGTGCCCAGCACCCACCACAGGATAGGACCCATCGAAGGCGCTCAGCACAGGCCTGCTAACTAAGGAAGAATATCACATTCCCGCACTCATGTTAGCCTTTAGCACACTCACACCACACCTCTACGCAGGCACGTCAAGCAGAAGTCTGTACCCACGGCGCACACGCACCTGTGCAGGAAATGACGTTGAAGAGCTCCTTGAGGCAGGGCAAGATGGCAGCGGGCTGAGCGCGCCACAGCTGTGCCAGGAGCCCGCTCACCTGCTGCGCCTGCTCCAGGAACTCCACAGCGCCCTCCTCGCCCTCGGCCGGGCAGCGGAAGCGGCCAAGGCAGCGCACCAGCTGCTGGCAGAAGAGCAGGCGGTGCGGGCCGTCGGGCACGCAGCGCGGATGCCGCGCCAGCAGCCGCGCCACCTGCGCGCAGACTGCGGGCCCCGGCCGCTCGCACACGGTGCGCAGCACCTCGCGCCGCAGCAGCGCGTACACCTCATCCGCCGCGGGCCCCTCGGGCAACAGCTGCAGGCCCAGTTGCACGCAAGCGAGCGCTCGGGCGCCCGGCGGGCCGGCACCGCCCTGCAGCAGGCGCAGCACCCGGCGCGCGCTGAAGAACTCGGTGAAGACGTCTGGGTGGTGACGGCCGGCCACGTGCAGCAGCTGGCAGCCCACGCGGCGCGGCAGCTCGTCCGCACCGCCCACGTAGAGGCGCGCGCCCAGTGCCAACAGCGCCAGGCACTGCTCCCGCTCCAGTGGCTGCCGCGCCGCCTCCAGCACACGCCGCACCAGCCCTTGCTTCACGCTTGCCGGGTATGACGACGTCATCACCGCTTCCAGGATCTTGTCCATGGCGGCTGCGCTGCGGGGGACAAGGTGCAGAGTCACACTCTACCCGACAGAATGCATTTCCCCCTGTGGTCCCTGTGTACTGAGGCTTGGGCCGAGCAACTCTGCCTCTCTGGACCTCAGTTTACTCATTTGTGAAATGAGGAGAGGATACCTACTTCATTGGGAGACGCAATGCCCGTAAATCAAAGCACATGCCTGCCACATAATAAGCCCCAGTGAGTTGTAGTTACTCCTGATGAGCACCTTTAATCTCATACAGGTAACATATGAGCCTTCCCCGCTCCTCCCACCTCTTTGTTCTCTGATCCCCAGGCCTCCCTGGTGACTTAATTCACTCCTGGAACAGGTAGGAGCTGGATTTAGAAGCTGTTATCCAGAGTCTTAGCCAAGTCATGTCCTGTAGGGGAAATGAGCCTGGACGGACACACACACACACACACACCTCCAAGGAAGAGGGGCCTAGATCCCCCTGAGGGCCCAACAGGGCTTCCCAGCATCCCTTACAAACTTTATTCTGCCTCCATCAACTTCTTGCTCTTTCTTAAATGATGTAAACCTTTCCAAGATACCACTTCCCAGTGTATGTTTGTCTTGCCAATGGGTTTCAGCCCTGGGCAAGTTCGCTATGGATTCAATGTGACCAAAGAAATGGCAGTAGAACATTCTTGGGGGTGAAAGGGTTATACCCAACTTTATTTCCAGGTGGCAGGTCAGTCACTAAACTCCCATTCACTCAGAGCAAGTCTGTATGCAGCAAGCCGGTCTCTGCTTCTGGGCCCCTCTGCCTGCACAGCTGTCCCACACAGCCGTCCTCTGGGCCTCTCTGCACAGTTGTCCCACACAGCCATCCTCTGGGCCTCTGTCCTCAGCACTGCCACCACTCCAGCCCCTGCTCCACTCCTCTGCAGCCGTGCCACCGTGTCACATGCAGAGCACTGGGCAGAGCTCTTTATATAGTCACCAGCCATGTATTTATTGACCGCAGGTGTGCAGTGAGCTAGTCAACCAGGGCCAGGTGAGAATCCTGGCCACAGAAACTCTCATTTTATCCACGCTCCACCCCTCCAGGATTCTCTCCTCTCAATCTATGTGCCCTTACTCCTCTGCAATGGTCCCTATGCAAGGAAGCTCAAACATTGATCTCCAGCTTCTCCAGCAAAAAGTCTTGCAGACACACAGGCCAGACTCGTGGCTCTGTCTCTGACCTCTGCCTCTTTAGTCTTAATGGCTGGAACTGCTGCACTGGTTTCAGTTGTTGCCATAGCTCCAGTAAGATCCTATTTGGCTTCCCATCTAATTTCCTTCCATGTATTCCTGCCCATATCAAATAAACCCACATCTGGGTCCTTGTAACCTTCATGGGGCCCCTTAAATTCTTCTTGTGAGTCACCTTGCATTTTGTAATCGCTGCCTCAAGGCAGGCTGCACTGTCAGAGAAGATAACTTTCCCATCTCTGATCCCGACAGAACAATTCCATCCACCCCTATGTCCCACAGCCACCAGCTCAGCCTGAGGATAGGGGCAGACCATAGAGTGCTCCACAATCTGGGGAGGGGGCTGCTCCTCTCCTTGAGGGACTTTGAGCTGCTGGGTCTTTATTTTCTTTACAACCACTGGGCGTGCTTTCAATACAGGAGGGGGCGGTGCCTCCAGCACCACCCCTTCATCCTTCCCCAGATCCTCCATTTCTGGGGCTGATGGCAGCTTTCTCTCCACTCCCCCAAGTGCCTCCTCTGCTAGTGCTTCAGAACAATGCTGGCTCAGTCTTCAGAAGCTCTCTTACCTTCACTGCTGACATTCTCATGCCACCTCCGCCTGTGCTTCCCTCAGGAGTTCATCTTTTTCCTTGATGACCTCTTCCTCAGAACACCTGGCAGCGCTGCCGACTCATTTCCAATGGCACCTTGCTGCCGGCGCTCTCGTACTGCCTCCTCTCGTAACAATGCCATCTCCTTCTTCAGAGATTCTACAGAAGTTTGCAGCTCACATTCTCATGCCACCTCCTCCTGCATCAAGGCCATCTCCTTCCTCAGGGAATCCACTGAAGTCTGCAGCTTGCATTCTCTTGCCGCCATTTCTTGGGTCTCTTCTGTAGACCTTTTTAATACTGTGAGAAGCAGCCAACCTACAGTCCCCACTGCCTCACGGGCACTCTGTTTCTCAAAGGATCTGCTTACTATGCCAAGGGCCACCCCTACAGCCTTAGGTGTCACCTGCACTTGCCTCCAGTCCTGGGGTGGGGCCCAGTCCTCTAGGAGGCAAGCCACCTCAGACCACATACCCCCTGGGGGACAATCCACTGTCTCCCCATTCACAGGGGCAGCCCACTGAAGCACCCCTCCCATAAGGGCAGCCTGTCTTTTTCCTTGGTCAACAATGAACCCTGCTGACTATGCCAATTGTCTTGCCAATGGGTTTCAGCCCCAGGCAAGTTCGCTATGGATTCAATGTGACCAAAGAAATGGCAGTAGAACATTCTTGGGGTGAAAGGGTTATACCCAACTTTATTTCCAGGTGGCAGGTCAGTCACTAAAATCCCATTCACTCAGAGCGAGTCTGTATGCAGCAAGCTGGTCTCTGCCTCTGGGCCGCTCTGTCTGCACAGCCATCCTCTGGGCCCCTCTGTCTGCACAGTCGTCCCACATAGCCATCCTCTGGGCCTCTCTGCATAGTTGTCCCACACAGCTGTCCATCCTCTGGGCCCCTGTCCTCTGCTCCCCTGCAGCCTTGCCACCGTGTCATGCAGCGAGCACTGGGCAGAACTCTTTATATAGAGTCAACAGCCATGTATTGCCCACAGGTGTGCAGTGAGCTACTCAACCAGGGCCAGGTGAGATCCTGGCCACAGGAACTCTCATTTTATCCACAATGTTGTACTTTTTGCCTGAAACATCTTGTGTCCTACAACCTCCCTCCACTACAAGCACACACTTATACAAGCAGGAAAACTCCTATTTTCCTTCAAAGCCCATCAAACACCCTGTCCTCAGTGAGAGCTTCCCTAGGCCCCCAAGCACAAACTCATCCCTCACCCTTTTCTTAGAGCCACCTGTGCATCTTCCTCCATGACAGCTGTATTCACACAGTGCCAGGGTTGCAGCAGTCTGGATTCCTTCCCCTGAAGCACAGCTTCTCTATGTTCCCGCCCTGCCACTGGGCCTGGCTCCAAAGCTCAGCACACGCAGGCCCCTACCTGCCTCCCAGACAGCAGCCCCCCACTCCTGGATATGCTCTCCCTGCCACTGGGCCCTTTGCATATACTCTTCCTTCCCCTTCTTTCTGGGCTCACCCCGCAGACATCAGCTCAAACTCACTTCTTCAAGGAAGCCTTGCCTGACCTCCTTTTCTGGGCCAAACAGCCCTGTTAATTTCAGAGCATCCTGTTCCTTCTTTTTTTTTTTTTTTTT